ATGTATTGATAGACGAAACTTAACTAATTCAGCCAGTGATAGCTGGTTTTTTTAAACCCAGCAGGAAAAGTATCAAATTTTACATTTTCCCCCATGAAAATAGAGCCCTTGTGCCTTATTTTATGGGACAGGTATTTACAATTGTGGGAGCCTCTAGCATTGCACATGTAACACTTCTAGAATGTGAGCTACTTTGAGTGCCTATGTGTTTCTGGGTCCAATTCAGAGTGTCGGTTATCATCTTTAAAGTACCCTACTAGTACCGCTATGTAAAGCCTTAGTAAGACTAAGTAAGTAAGACTAAGTCGTAAGACTAAGACTAGAATACTGCATCCAGTTTTGGTCAACATATTATTAAAAAGATGTGGAGGCTCTGGAAAGAGTGCAGAAAAGAACAGCAAAAATGATTAAGGGGTTGGAGGCTAAATATATGAAGCACAGTTGCAGGAATTGGGTTTATCTCGTCTAGTAAAAAGAAGGAGTAGGGGGGACAATGCAGTCTTCCAGTATTTGAGGGGCTGCCACAATGAAGAGGGGTCAACCTATTTTCCAAAGCACCAGAACGCAGGACAAGATACAATGGAGGGAAACTAATCAACGAGAGAACCTATCTAAAAGTAAATTTCTTGACAGTGAGGACAATTAACCAGTGGCACAGCTTGCCTCCAGAAGTTGTGGGTGCTCCATCAGTGGAGGCTTTTAAGAAGAGACTGGACAGCCACTGGTCTGGAATGGTATAGGGCAGTGGTTCTCAACCTGTGGGTCGGGACCCCATTTGGGGTCGAATGACCATTTCACAGGGGTCGCCAAACAACGCAGTCCGCCATTTTTTCCCCCTTTTCCTTAGCTGTGATACTCTCTTGAATAGAGTCTAATTCTATTGGCTTTCAAAAGCCAATAGGAATTGTCCAGGCTGTCTCTGCCCTGCTGAGCCCGCCAAAAATCCCATTCTGCAAACGGTGCTGCACCAGTTGAGTAGTCCTCGACTCACGACCGGTTGAGTAGTCCTCGAATTACGACCGGTTGGGGGTCACGGCATTAAAAAGGTTGAGAACCACTGGTATAGGGTCTCCTGCTTGAGCAGTGGGCTGCACTAGAAGACCCCCCCCCCAAGGTCCCTTCCAACTCTGTTATTCTGTTACGCATGGCATGGGACCAGGTTACCGTCTCATCCTCATTTCATTGACCCATCCATCCTGGGCAAGCAGGGAGGGCATACTATGTACCCCATTGGTTAAAGAAGTCCAAATGTTCGGATGCAAGAAGAGACCCTTCTCTGGACACCCCCACCCTTTGGAATAGTTTGTCCTTGGAGATTTATATGTGTTTTTGTTTTTATGGAAAGTTGCCATGACTCACCTAGGATTATCCTGTATCAAGTAGGCTGGCAATGTAACTTTTCTAAATGAATAATTGTTGCCCTGTTTTCCCTGCAGGCACACAAAGTTGGCAACCGTGTTGGGGAAAGCCTGGTTGGAGAATGGAAAATCGGCATCACCTTCTTTTGTCTTTCCTGGGAGGTGTTCCAGCAAAGATAATACAACATCCAGTTATGGAGAAACGGAAGTGCAACCTCAGACATCAGGCAGTTTCTCTTTCCCCAGAATGACAGGGACAGGTTCAGTCTGTTGGGGTTTGGGGTAAACCTGCCCTGCAATAACAGGTGATATTCTATTTTATATATTTGGGGGCCCCAAAAGGGAAGAATGGTGTGGAAAAAGAAAAGGCCCCCACTTACATACAGCTCAAGAAACTTTGCCAGAGAGGAAGATGCACCATTGACTTGCCAACATGATGTTGAATGTCTCATTTATAAATATTTATATTTAGGTTACATTGATAAATAAAATGTCTTTTTCAATTGTTTTCTGTTTTATTCTTTTTTCCCTTGATGAAATTCACTCCTTCATTGTTCTATAGCATAAACTTTGGGACGGAATATAACAGCATTCTCCCTCCTCCCCTCCCCCTCTCTCTCTCTCGTATCTATCTATCTATCTATCTATCTATCTATCTATCTATCATCTATCATTCATTTAGCCATCATCTATCTATCTATCTTCTATCTATCTATCTATCTATCTATCTATCTATCTATCTATCTATCATCTATCATCCATTTAGCCATCATCTATCTATCTATCTATCTATCTATCTATCTATCTACCTATCTATCATCCATTTAGCCTAGCCATCCATCCATATCTATCTACAGTATTATCTATCTATCTATCTATCTATCTATCTATCTATCTATCATCCATTTAACCATCTAGCCATCCATCCATATTGATCTACAGTATCATCTATCTATCTATCTATCTATCTATCTATCTATCTATCTATCATCTATCATTCATTTAGCCATCATCTATCTATCTATCTTCTATCTATCTATCTATCTATCTATCATCTATCATCCATTTAGCCATCATCTATCTATCTATCTATCTATCTATCTATCTATCTACCTATCTATCATCCATTTAGCCTAGCCATCCATCCATATCTATCTACAGTATTATCTATCTATCTATCTATCTATCTATCTATCTATCTATCATCCATTTAACCATCTAGCCATCCATCCATATTGATCTACAGTATCATCTATCTATCTATCTATCTATCTATCTATCTATCATCCATTTAGCCATCTAGCCATCCATCCATATCGATCTACACTAAGTATCATCCATCCATCCATCTATCCACCCACCCGTCTCTCTCTATCTCTCTATCTCTCTATCATCCATTTAGCCATCATCTATCTATCTATCTATCTATCTATCTATCTATCTATCTATCTATCTATCTATCTATCATCCATTTAGCCATCATCTATCTATCTATCTATCTATCTATCTATCTATCTATCTATCCATCCATCCATCCATCCATCTATCTATCATCTGTAATCTTAAATCAGTCAGAATAGAGCTGGAAAGGACCTTAAAGGTCTTCCAGTCCAACCCCCTACTCAAGCAGGAGACCGTATACCATTCCAGACAAGTCTCCACATCTTTTTTGCAATGTGATCACCAAAACTAGATGCAGCATTTCAGGTGCAGTCTTACTCAAGTGTTATAAAGCAGTACTAATCTATCTATTATCTATATTTTATCATCTACCTTCTATTTATCTATATCTTCTATATCATCTTTCTCTACTTACAGTATCCATCCATCCATCCATCCACCCATCCATGGTTCTTAGGAGGAGAAAACCTGGTGAAGATGCCGTGGGCGCCATCTTGAGTTCTTTGGGGGAAAGGCAGGGGACTTCTATAAACCAGCAGATGAAAAACTTGAAGTGGCTCCAATGTTCCTTTTCGGGTGACACACAAAACACTTTGACCGGAAGAGCAATCTCAGAAATATCTGCAGGATGCAAGGCCTTCTAATTGGGATGCCTTGTGGGTGCTCCATTACTGGAAGCTTTTAAGAAGAGACAGGACAGCCACTTGTCTGAAATGATATACAGGTAATCCTCAACTTTCAACCACAACTGCGTCCAAACAACAAATTGTGTTGTTGTTAAGTCAGAAATTTGTTAAGTTGGTTTTGCCTCATTTTATGACTTTTCTTGCCATACTGGTTAAGAGAATCCCTGCAGCTGTTAGTAACCCGGTTGACAAATGAATCTGACTTCCCCAGAAGTCAGAAGGTGATCTTATGACGCAGGGACCCTGCAACCGTCATAAATGTGAGTCAGTTGCCAAACATCCGAATGTAAATCACATGACCACAGGGGCTGTGGCAACACATGAACAACGGTCATAAATGCCTTTTTTTCAGTGCCGTTGTAACTTTGAACGGTCATTAAGCAAGATGTTGTAAGTCAAGGACTGCCTTGTAGACACTCCTGCTTAGCCAAGGTATTGGATTAGGTGACCTCTAAGGTCCCTTCCAACTCTGTTATTGTATGTTCTAGAGAGTTTGCTCCAAATCCGTAACCACTAGACCATGTTGCCTCCTTCTCTGCTCCTTCTTCTTCCCACTTCTAATCGCCGTTCAGGCACCGCCAGCCCAACCCGTGCACAAGCGACCTAGAACTAAGAAGAAACTTTCTGACAGTTAGAACAATTAGCCAGTGGAACAACCTGCCTCCAGAAGCAGTAAATGCTCCAACGCTGAAAGTTTTTAAGAGACTGGACAGCCGTTTGTCTGAAATGTATAGGGTTTCCTGCCTGAGCAGGCGGTTGGACTAGATAACTTCCAAGGTTCCTTCCAACTTTTTTATTATTATTATTATTATTATTATTATTATTATTATTATTATTAATTTCCCAAGCAATTCTCATAGACTCAAGCTTCTATCCTGAATTATTAAAGAAAATAAAAGATAATCTGGCATTGTTAGTCTGGGCAGTAAATTTAAACTACTTTGCTCATTACAGCATTGTTCCAATATTTGAAAGGCTGCCCCAAAGAAGAGGGAGTCAAGCTATTCTCCAAAGCCCCTGAAGGCAGGACAAGAAGCAACAGATGGAAACTAATCAAGGAGAGAAGCAACCTAGAACTAAGGAGAAATTTCCTGACAATAAGAACAATTAACCAGTGGAACAGGTTGCCTTTAGAAGTTGTGGGTGCTCCATCACTGGAGGTGTTTAAGAAGAGACTGGACAGCCGTTTGTCTGAAATGGTATGGGGGTTGGACTAGATGACCTCCAAGATCCCTTCCAACTTTTATTATTACTATTATTATTATTATTATCGATCATCGCACAGTCAGCCAGATGTTCAGACTGGATTTGGCATTTTGTCTACCTATCGAGTCCTTACCCAGGACCTGGGATAGGCAGATGTGGATGTTTGATGGTATTACAGATATTGTCGCAGGATGGAAGCAGTTCCTAGTAAGGCTGCCTTTTGCAATTGACTAATTGCGAATTTGTCAATTATTATTATTATTATTATTACTATTATTATTATTATTACTACTACTACTATTACTACTACTACTACTCCTACTCCTACTATAAAGCTGGCTTGCACGCGGCTAGCGAGCAAGTGGATGCCTTTGCGGGGGAGGGCAAAGCGGCTCCAAGTAAAGCAAGCGGAAGTAGCAGCGGGCTTTCTCCGCAGCCAGAAGTGTGTGTGTTTGTGTGTGTGTGTGTGTGTGAGAGAGAGAGAGTTGGGGACGAGCTGGGGTGGGGGGGCAATCCTCTCCCCGGGACGTTGGCCGCTGACGTCTCGCCTTCCTCCTTTGCTTCCCCTCGAAAGAATTCCAAGTGCGTATCCACCATCCCAGGAAAAGCGAATTCCGCCTGGGAGGGGGCCAGGGGGAAATGACAGTCCCCGGCCTCTCCTGGACCAGCCCCAGAAGTGCTCGGAAGGCACGGCAGACCCCCGGTCGCCTCTGGCCGCCTTGCGACTCCTCCGCTCCCCCCTCCCCGCTTAAAACCCCAACCTTGAGACTTTGGCGAGTTGCTGAGAAGTTGGCGCGACGGCTCCGGCGCTTGGTGGCTCCCGGTCTGCTTGCCTCCCCATCCCCGCCCCGGGCCACGCCGGGCGTGGGCTGCCTTCTCCGGCCCCAGGAACACCTGCTAACCGGGAAGAGAGCGGGACCTCGCGAAGAGCGAGGGGCCCCGCCGCTGCTTCTGCCAACTTCGAAGTCTCCGGCTTCCCTTCTTGCTGAACCCCCCAGCCCCGCTGGAGAGATCGCGGGAGACCTAGAAGGAAGGGCCGAGTCCATCTTGGCAGCATCAGGAAAGAAGGAGGGGATCCTCCCTCTCCCCCCCCCCGCCACCCCAGCCAGCGAGGTTGCTACCTTTGCAGCTTACCTGGTGCCTAAGGGGGCATCCTGGTCTGAACACACCTTCTGCTGCCAAAGGACTCACCTTGGCCGCAGCAAGAACATGACCGTCAAGTTGGAGATCGCCTTGGCCGTTTGCTTACTGCTGGCGCTTCAAGGTAAGTGTCCGGGTCTTCTTGCAAATTGCCTGCAGCCTTCCAGATTTGGTCTTGCAAATTCTCCCGAGCCTTCCAGAGTTTGGGGCAACGTGGACTGGAGTTCCCAGGGCCCTTTGCTGCACTTTGGAAGGGCTCTTGTTTTTCCCCTGTCTGCCGCCCACCTGAGTCGCTCAGCATCCTTTTGGGGAGCGGTGCCGCTCCTGAACAAAGTTTTCCAAATAACCCAGGGCAACTCTGTCCTGGCCGGAGCTGAGAACGGAGAAGGTCTGGATTTCAAGAACTTTTGTAGCTGGGTGAAGGTGCAAAACCTCATCAGCTGCTCGCTTAGTGCCTCGCTGAGGGCACTTTCCTAAAGCGTGCCTTCTATTTTTGGGTGATAGCTTGACTTAAATGCACGCCCAGGAGTCAAATTACTGTATATTCCAAGGACGGTCAACCTTGGCAACTTTAAGACATGTGGACTTCAACTCCCAGAATTCCCGTCAGCAACTGGCTGGGGAATTCTGGGAGTTGAAGTCCACAACTTTTAAAGTTGCCAAAGTCGGACACCCTTGCTATATGCCCTCAGTGAGATTACTAGATAAAATCAGTGACTAACGAGTCAATATATTTGTCTTTCCTTACTGTTGCTCATGCTTTTATGAATCTACAGTCCTGCAGTTCACAAATGCATGAATAAGTCCACTTGTAGAGACTCACTTTGCCCAAAGAAGAGACCAAGGTAATCATTGTTTAAGCATAAAAAACAGAAAACAGGTAAAAGAAAGAGATATTTTCCCCTCTACTAATTCTCACTCAATCTGACTAAAAGGATTTTGCTTTCAAAGCTTCTCTCAGAGCAAGACAGAATTTTGGAGAAAACCATCATGTATGGTGTGTGGTCATCTGACCATTGTTATTTAGGAGAATTGGGATCGGTGTCAAGGCTGGTGGTCTTCTCCTACTTCCCTTCAATCCCAAGAAAAGATCACAGAAAAGAATTTGCCATTCAAATCTTCAGAATCTTCTCAAGAACTTCTCCATCCACCCAAATTTTTCTGCCCACAAATGGGGTTGGGAACTTTGGAAGTCTTGTTATGTCCTGGGTCTACCTGGAACCTTGGAGAGATATTTATCAGTGAGAAGAGTCCACCATCATAGGACAATGAAGGATCTGCTATGGAAAGTAGCTTCCATATGTGAGCAACTGGGGAATCAAGGTTCAAAGTCCATTTGTGGCATTTGCGGTGTGTCCTGATGCTGAAATTCTGTTTTTGAGTTTGAAAAGTGTGCTATATGCAAACACAAAGTTGGAAGGACCTGGATTTGACTTGATAGGAGACCAATGCAGTGAACCTCAAAAATTAAAAGATGCTGTCACTTGATATGTTGATCGGGATGAATTCTACTTTTGATGTGGTGTGGTTTTTCTTTTCTAACATTCTGCAAAAGAACGTAAGGATTCCTGCTTTGGTTTTTGTTGCTGTTGTTGTTGCACGCCCAAAACCTCCTTTCCTTTACTCTTTCTCCCAAAAAAAAAGATACTATCTATTGCTGTTCGCCCGAACTTCCTCTTTTCACTTTATAGGAAATTTTCCCTTGTATGTCATCCTATTCCTTCCATTGGTCCCTGAAAAAGGTTGGGTTAACTGAGTTGACTGCCACATTTTACTGTTCGAAAAATACATGCCACTCAAACAGAATGATTAATCCCAAAATAAGAATTGGAATTTCTTGTCTTTTTAAAATCATAACTGCCTTGCTCTGGGCCAAACTATTTAACTCCTTCTCGTAATATTGTGGCTCTCTGAGGCATCATCTGCCGTACAAGTTCTTAGGCTGGTCGTGCCAGCAATAGCGATGAAGACGTTCTCTCTCTAGTCCTAGTTTACTTTGCTAGGTTGGTGATATGGCTATCAAATTATATATCAGTTTTATATATGATGTAATGTAATGCAATATATTATTATATATTGTATTGTATTGTATTGTATTATATTATATTATATTATATTATATTTATTATACTATATTTATTATATTATTATATTTATTATATTATAGTAGATAGTATAGTATAGTATAGTATAGTATAGTATAGTATAGTATAGTATATATTGTATTGTATTGTATTGTATTACATTGTATTACATTACATTACATTACATTATTGGATATAATAACCAGTTTCGTCTAGTGGTTTTAAAGCACCAGAACCAGGACATGGTGAGTTCTAGTCTCGCCTTAGCCATGAAAGCCAGCTGGGTGACTTTGAGCCAATCGCTCTCTCTCAGTCCCTTACAGGGTTGTTGTTATGGGGAAAATTGGATGAGGAAGGTAAGGGAGAGGGGGGGAGAGAGGGGGGGACATTGTCAAGACCCAGAAGAATCCCTGTTAATATACCATATGAACATTTTCCTATTTATATATACTGGGGATGAAATCCATACGCAGAGGTAGGTGTGTCTAGAGCAGTGGTTCTCAACCTTTTTACTGTCGCGACCCCCCCAACCGGTCGTAAGTCGAGGACTACTCAACCAGTCGTGACTACTCAACTGGTGCAGCACCGTTTGCAGAATGGGACTTTTGGCGGGCTCAGCAGGGCAGAGACAGCCTGGACAATTCCTATTGGCTTTGGAAAGCCAATAGAATTAGATTCTATTCAAGAGAGTCTATTCTATTGGCTTTCAAAAGCCAATAGAACAAAAGGGAGTAACACAGCTAAGGAAAAGGGGGGAAAAATGGCGGACTGTGTTGTTTGGCGACCCCCGTGAAATGGTCGTTCGACCCCAAATGGGGTCCCGACCCACAGGTTGAGAACCGCTGGTCTAGAGGGTGCCCACAACCGTATTTTCAAAGTTGCATTTGTGTTTTTCATACGTCCCCCATCACCACGCTGGCCACCTAGTTGACCTTAGGTCAATACTTTGTAGATCTGCTTGAGAAGCCCTAAATCAGGGGTCTTCAAACTTGTCCCTTTTATGACTTGCGGACTTCAACTCCCAGAATTCCTCAGCCAGGCACGTGTGCCTGCCTGAGGAATTCTGGAAGTTGAAGTCCGCAAGTCATAAAAGGGCCAGGTTTGAAGACCCCTTCCCTAAATCTTGGCCACTACTTTGTAGTGCAGATCAGCTTTGACTCCATGACATCCAGCGATTGAAACAACCCATTTCCTAAATCTGCATAATCCATCAAAACTCGAACAGGTCGTGTCCACCAAATACATTCAGCACAAGACCGCCAAGCCAAGGTGAGACTTCAATCGTTGGTTATGTAAATGGGAACCACCAAGTTCCTCAGTGGAAGATGACAGGGCCATGATATGGCAAGGAGAGCAAATATATTAGTCATGACTCACAGCTGAATTTCTGCTTCATGATAAATCATTAACATGCGATGGTTCACAACCAGAATTTGCAGATGAACTTCTCTGGAAAACTGCTTTGAAGCCAGGAGAGAAATATGTCCCTGAAAGTTATTCTGGGATGACTCATTCAGATATGAAATTAACAAGCTTGAGTATCAACATTCTCCATATATGTCTGGATCATTCATAATGTTGTTGGAAAAAGATTTTCCGGCTAAATGTCTTCCTAAAGGATGATATTTCTCAAGCTTGACAACTTTGCGTCCACACATCTGACAGTTGTCAAGCTTGAGAAAAACTGCTGAAGGGGAACCCGCTCTGGTCCGTGAGCTCCTGGAAAGAACTTCTCCGCATCAAAAACCTGGAGTAAGACACAAGCCAGACCACATTTAAGTGGGGTGCTAACAATCTGCCTAACTGTTTGCATCTGTGGACGTGCATGTTGCCCATTAAGCCAGAAGATTGGATGAATCCAGAACAGAAAAGCTGCTTCACTTGGCTGGGATGGGGTGAGGGTCTAGGACAGGGGTAGGCCACCTTGGCTCTTTTATGACTGGTGGACTTCAACTCCCAGAATTCCTGAGCCAGCCATGCTGAGGGGAAAGGGAGAGGTTTCCAAGCTGAGCCATGCTGGCTCAGGAATTCTGGGAGTTGAAGTCCACAAGTCATAAAGTTGCCAAGGTTGAGAATCCCTGATATAGGCAGGGTTAGGCAACCTTGGCTCTTTTATGACTCGTGGACTTCAACTCCCAGAATTCCTGAGCCAGCCATGCTGAGGGGAAAGGGAGAGGTTTCCAAGCTGAGCCATGCTGGCTCAGGAATTCTGGGAGTTGAAGTCCACGAGTCATAAAAGAGCCGAGGTTGCCTACCCCTGCTCTAGGGAATCATGCAGCCTATAGTTGAACTGCTCCAGAGTTCAGTTCGGTTTCCTTTAGAGACAGAACTATTTAAAAAATGCTGTCAACTTAATTGGATGGGATTTTTCTAGGGATGGTTCCAATTAGAATCCCCCCCACCCCACCCCCGTCCGTTTTTGGATGCCAAGGGGAATAGAGCGGGCCGTGTACAAGGCAATGCCTGGAGATACCACTAGATGGCAATTCCTCCTAGAAACCTTTTTCCAGATGTTGCCTTGGGGAGAGTTGAAGGGGAAACCCCAAGAAGACCAGCGTCTCCTCAATCAGGCTGTGGTTTTGTTCACCATTAATGTCTGCAGGACAAAGCTCAAATTTATTTTCTTCCCAATCCCTGATCAGATCAGAAGCATTGACATTTTCTGTTTCTTCTAAGGAATTTTGGTTGCTGTGCTCTGATTCATTCATTCATTCATTTAATGATTAACTCAAGGCAGTGAACACACATAATATTTCTTCCTCTTCCTGTTTTCCTCATAACAGCAACCCTTTGAGATAGGCTGGGCTGAGAGAAAGTGAATGGTCCAAAGTCACCCAGCCAGTTTTCATGCCTAAGGCAGGACTAGAACTCACCGTCTCCTGGGGATTGGCCCAAAGTCATTCAGATGGTTTTCATGTCTAAGGCAGGACTAGAACCCACCTCCTCCTTGCATTTTAACTTGCATTGGTTGGTGGTTAGCTTTAGCAATGGTTGCCTGAGCAAACCAGCTTGGAACCACAGTTGCTTATTTTTCCTGAAG